CTACACCCCACGCTCATAGAGATAGGCCATCTCACACCTCCCCCACCCTCTGCTTTGCGCTGCGCCGGCGCGCCCGGGTACCACCCGGCGAGGATCCGAGCGTGTGCACGGGCGGCGCGCGTGTGCACGAGCGCAAGCGTGAGTGGGGGAGGTGTGAGATGGCCTATCTCTATGAGCGTGGGGTGTAGTGGGCGTTCAGGGTTTAATCTCGCACGCACCTGGGGACATGCCCAGCGGCTGTGTTTTCTTTTGTGACTGATGCTGGCAGAATGGGAGTGTACCAGCAAAGCTGCCCTCCCCTGGGCCCGCAGTACGAATCCGGAGTCCCCGGGCTTACTCAGAGATTTTCCGGCCTCAGTCTGCTAGCAGCACCGGGAAAACACCCACCAGCCTAACCAGGGCAGGGTGGAATGCCTCCGTTGTGTTTTCTTCCAGGTTCCTCAGAATTGCCCAAACTGAGTTCGTTATCACCTTGCTCAGAGTGCAAACACAGAGCATATTCTTTTGTTATGTTTCAAGATGACACGAAGAGAGGTGGATGTGCCTGCATTCAAGGAAGCTGGCAGCAAGAGGGTGGTGGATGTTGTCAAACCTCGCCAGGTTGAGTAAATGATTGAGGTAGCAGGAGGTCATCTTCACTCTAGGAGGCAACTTGGTGGTGGTGTGGTTAAAACAGCTTAGACTTAATTCTAGTAGTGTTGCTATTAGAAGACATGGAAGTCACATGTGTATTCCATTCTCTTCTGAAGGGTAGTGCTGAGGACAGGAGAATTAAGAATTGCCACATAATGCCTTAAGTCATGCACCTTTTATGTATGGCCGTGAGCAATCTGCCGTGGACAGATTTTGGCATGATGGCACCAAGGTGATTTTTGCCAAGGCAAAGCGTAAAAACCCTTGCACTGGATTATGAAAAAGACCCGACCCTGTATTAATTTGGGGTCAAGGATATGTTTGTGCTTTTTTCGCAGGAAGAAAATAGAGCCGATGAGATGACTGCATATACAGCGGAGGAGTACCAGCCCTGATGACATCGCAGCCACTGATGACTCCATAAGAGAAGCAGAAAGAGGTTCCTGAACGTGAGATCCTGACCTCCTCATAACATCATGCTGCAGGCTGAGGAAAGGGGTCCCTGAACCGATGTTCCTGACTCACTACAACCTCCTGCAGTCTAAGAAGGGAGAGAAGATCATGGTATGACTGGTGATTCCCAGCCTCTTGTTGGAATTGCTGGGCAGACTTCCAGACCTAGTGAGTCCTGTTGACCTTGGAGCCGGACCAAAAACACAGACTAAATATTTGACTGTTTTACTCTTTGGGACATGGAACTCATTTTGACAGTATGGTATTCAATCTACTGTTAAAATATTGGGCCTGAGAATGGAGAACTCATTTTCCCCGCAGGGGAAAAAGGACTCATTTCAAGGAGTGTGAAGTCCCTCTTCAAATATGAGGAGGGTAGTCTAAGGGTTTTTGCTGCTGCTCAGAGACTGGGACAATTATTTAAAAGCAGCAATGTGCCTGGACTCTCACTCAGCAGAAAAATCTTTTTTTGTCTTTTGATTAGAATGGATTTAAGAGAATTGTGATGTGACAGATTGTGTATTTGTTGTTAATTTCCCATTTAGAATTATGGGTATTGACTGGTTAATGCTTGTAACTGCTTTAGTTCTCCATAAGATGTTATGAAAAGTTAGATTTTTTCTATGAATACTTGGATTTAACATATTTGATAAACATTTTGATTTTAATATGGCAAAAAATTGTTAAGAAGCAATCCAGAACAACCAAAAAGGGCATTCCCAACCCTAGCGATTCTTTCTCCTTTAATTAGGAGACTGTAGCCATTAGGAACATGTTTATTCACAAAATATATCTAATTGCAGATGAACTCTCTTGACAAAAAATTGGCTCAGAGACACAGAGCCCAAAAGTATTTTCTTTAATTCTTTGTTTGCAGAGGTCGGCAGTCATCAACGGGTTTGATTCTTTTTCTTCCCAGACTCCTAAGACATGGGCTTGTATGATTAAAATACAGATACTGAAGACGGATAAGTCTGGGAAACAGGAAAGTGTTCAAAGATGCAATCATCTGTCCTGTTGCAGAAGCACAGGCTTTATTAAAATTAACGAAAGGGGAGGAAATGTGGAGACTGAAAAAGGCAGGCCCATTTCCAACTGGTTAGAGAGTTTGGAGATTGGCAAGCATAAATGCATGCCCCAACTCAGCATGTGAGTGCTTGGTTCTTTTGGGGTCTTTTGAAGTTAAGTAAGTCCATAACATCCTGACAGAGGGTCAGGACATGCAAACGTACTTCTGCTCCTTCTTTTGTAACTATGAGGTCACCTGGGGAGGGGTGATCTTTACAATACATGACCTAGAGCAGCTTTGCTACCTAGACTACAGAATGCTAATGATTTGGTGTCTCAGAGTGATCAAGCAATTGACTGTGTGAGTTATCCTTTGTATCATGTTAATAAAGTCTTTTATTACCTTCTCCCTCATGTATGTTGGGTATAAAAGCTGTGGAAAAATAAACCACCAATGATTTTCAGGATTTCAGTCATTCATGATTTTCAGGATTCACTGGAATGCCCTCCAAATACTTCTATGGTTTCCGTCATGTTATTTTTTTATGCATCTTCATATTCTTTACTTAGATTTCTAAAATTTCCTTGCCCCTACCCTGATAAGAAGTATTTTTGTCGAGGCTGGTCCTCAACACAGGATGACTGGGAAGTTTGGCAGAGATGCACTGAATATGATTAATAAAACTCAGAGACAAAAATTGGAGTTCAACCTGAAAGTCCAAAATGCAAAACAGCCAGTCACTGGCTTTTACCTCGACCTCAGGAACAGTTTCCCTGATTTTGGACATTCAGGTTCTCCAAGGAAGTGCAGTTGTGGCCCCAGGGGGCTAACTACTATTGTCAGGCTGATAACAGAGCTTAACATTGTCTGCAAGGTGCTGGTTTTGTAGGCATTCAGCAGAAAGCAAGAATTAGAGCATCATGGCTGCTTCTGTTTTTCAACAGATTTCCAAAGAAGGCCTGGAAAGGCAGACCACGTGTGAAAGGACTGGAGTTCTTATGGGGAGCTCATGAGAAGGCAGTCCGTAAAGTGGGATGAAACCAAAGCTGCTATCTATGTCCCAGAATGTTAGTGATGCCAGGAACATAGGACTGCCAAAGGAAGCTGCAGGCAGAAAACAGAGCCAGCTGAGAGCCAGCTGTGGGCTGCAGCCAGCAAGGTCATAGAGGAAAGGCCGTCTAAACGACCAAAGCTCATGTTATACCATGTGCCCTGAACAGTAGGTGCAGAGTTAAAAGTCTTAATGTTTCTTCTGCTGGATTTTTGGGGTGCTCTGTTCCATCCCTCTTTGTAATTTTTCTAGTCCTGCTTTTTGCAGTGTGAATATTCATGCCATTTAATGTTAGAAGCATGAGACGTCTTTTGAATTCTGTGGGGCTCAAAGCTAAAACTTTGCCTTTGGTCTCAAAGGAAACTTTGGACTTGGGTGTTATCCCCTTGATGAGATCTGGGGGCTCTTGGAGATGGACTCAGTGCCTTCTGCATCATGAAACAGAGATGGGCCATCGAGGCTGAGGGCCTCAATGTTCTTCAATGTTCTTGCTGATAGGAAGTATTCCTTCAAAAATTCACATTGAAGGCTCAGGCCAGAGACTGGTGGACAATGAAAGTTATCACTTGATTAACACATTAAGCCCTTGAGGAATTCATAGCTGAATGGACTCTTGGGATGTGGGACCTGCCTAGAGTAAGCAGGCCACTTGCATACCCATGGAGAGTGTAGCTTGTCTTCAGACTCCCTTTTGCTGTTTCCCGGCCACTATAAGGTGAGACATTTGCTCCATACCATGACACTTAGCCTTAGCATGGCCCGGAAGCCATGGAACCAGCTAACCACAGAGATAAAGGCCCTAAACCATGAGTTTCCTATTATTGTTTATCTTGGTTACATATTTCAAAGTCACAGAAAGACAGTTAACACACACACACACACACACAGATTTCTAAAGAAAAGCTTCAAACACACAGTGAGGAACACTGTAAAAGACTTACGATGTTGTCATTTAGTAATTATTCTCATGTAGTTGATCACCAATCAAGAAGGTGAGCTTGCATATGCAAATGCAAGAAATCTACCAATAGATGAGATCCGTTCCACCCTAGGGGATGATAATCCAGAGAGAGTGGCTAATTAAACAATAAATGGAGTGTGTGTGTGTGTGTGTGTGTGTGTGTGTGTGTGAGAGAGAGAGAGAGAGAGAGAGAGAGAGAGAGAGAGAGATGAGTGGGGTGCTTTCTTGGCATCTCACCATGAGCGAAAGGAGTCATATATTCTTAAAAGAAAGATCAGAATAAAAATTAAAGTGTCACATAAAGCCCTCTTAGGAAAGGACTTGGAGCCCTGTTCTGCCTCAGGGCCTTTGCACGCCTGTCCCTTACCCCAGGTTCCCTGTTTGAACCCCTGTACATTTCTGTCAGGATATGTCCTCTGTGATTAAGACTCTGTGACAGTCTCCTGCTTTGGTGTTATAAGCCACCAGCAGCTGGTAGATGATAGGGTTACTGCTTCTCCTTCCCCACCCCTGTCCAGATTCCATAAGAGAATGGCCACTGTGCTTTCTGTCCCCTGCTATGTCCCCAATACCTGGGACCATATTTATACGCGAGCAAGAGCCATGTGTTGAGCGAGCAGGTGGAAACAGCTCCTGCACACACGGGGAAGTAGGCTGAGGCTCCTAGCCGGGATGAGTAGAGTTGCACACCAATCAATTTAGTTAGGAAGAAGTGGCTGGGGCTGCACATAAGGGCAGTGGCAGCAGTGAGATACTGACAAATGTGGCCTTAATGACATCACCAGGAGACAAGCTACCATTTGGGAAGCAGGACACTTGGAACATTCAGGAATCCAGGTTAAAAGGAGCGGTGAGAAGGAGAAAGCAGGAGACCTTAACAAGTGCCCACCATCTTGTTGGCCTCCCAGGCATGAAGAACCTACTTCCCTAGGTGTACGGACATTTCAAGCCTGTCCATTATTAAACCCCAATGAATCCCTGTGGAATCGATGCGTTTCCCCTTTTGCAGTCAAGGGAACTAAACTCTGCTGAGTTCAAATACTTTGTCTCTGGTCTCTCTGCGGTAAGTATGGAGCCACTTTGGTGTCCACTGAAGCTACCCAGAAGGACAGGAGAAGACGTAACCTCCCTGACACAAAGGAACAGACAGGCAAGAAGAACCTGGACCATGAGATGACACTTTAATGATCTCAGCCTTTCCCCGTGTTCAACATAAAGCCAGGCGGGACCCAAACTCTGGACTACATCACAATGTGAAGCGTTGAAATGGGGTTCCCTTGCAGAGGATGAAAGTGTTCCCGTTGGCTGGCATCTTGGAGATGCAATTCCATTTGGGGAGAAGAGCTGGAACAATGTCACAGTCTTCAGTCCTTTCCGGGCTTAGAAGTCTCAGTTGATTGTGATTCGGGGTAAGAGCTGGAGGTGAGTAACTGACTCAAGAGCGGTGTGTTGATCGGTACAAGAAATTTACCTTCGTGGAGTCCCCAAACCCCATTTCTAAGCTATTTAATGTTCATCCTTTAATTCAGAGTCAGGAGAGCGCTGGTGGTCAGCTCTGGTTGCATCCCCCATTGTCCTGTACTCTATTCCAAGCCTGAAGACTGTCTTGAGAGACACTGAGGTATGGCTGGAAGTATAGACAGCTTGCACACGTGACCCCTGACCCTGACCCCATGACCCTGACCCTGGTCCTGAGCTGCTACGTTTAAATGTCGGGCACTTTGGTACAGCATCTCACTAGTTCCTATAAATACTTGGTGCTTCTATTGCACTTAAAGTGGAGTTATTGATCTGAAAATCAAAAGGAGCTCCAGGTCCTTTAAAACTACAGAAATTAGGAACCCAAGCTATCATTCAGCTTCCCATCTCAATATATCATAGTGGTCGTGCGTCACTTGTACTTTTCCGTTCCACCTCTCCTGATAGTGTTGCACGATTAATTCACACACTTACTTAGTGTGCGCTCAGTGTGCGAGACAGTGACTGGTGCCTGGGGTCCATTGGGAAACAGTCAGACCTCATGTCTGCCTTTGTGAAGTTTTGTACTTAGGAGAGCACATTTAATAGGCTTCACAGCCTGCAGGCAAGGCTGGCGTTCTCACCAAGTCCATCCTTTTTGACCTTCGACCTACTTGACAGGTGCATAATGGGACTGGCCAGGAGAGGAGGTCTAAAGAATAAAGCAAGCCCTTTGGTTGGATAAAAGAGACAGATTTGGGATCGGCAGGGCAAAAAACAATTAGGAGAGGTGGAAATCCTAAACCCAGAACCTTGAATCCAGTGATGGCAAACAAACTTTACTCTCACTTGGGAGACAGAAGCGGGAGGATTGTCTCAAGTTTGAGGCCAGCCTAGGCTATGTCACAAGACCTTGTCTCAAAACCAAAGAAAGAAAAAAGGAAGAAAGAAAGGAAAGAAAGATAAAGAAAGACGGGCCAGTGAGGCAGTTTCGTAGGTAAAAGCACTGCCACTCAAGGCTGACAACCTGAGTTTTATTCCTGGAACTTACTCCTGTGTAGGTAGGGGAGGAACAACTCCCAAAATTTGTCCTCTGACCTCTACATGCTATGATATATATGCATCCCGTAGTTTACAAACACACAATAATAATAAATTAAAAGAATAGAAACAGGGGGAGAGAGAGAGAGAGAGATCCAAGACATGGGGTTTTCTTGATTTGGAATTCGAGAGAGGTGGCGTCGCTTCCAGTGCATGCCCCTGTATCACCTGCATGAAAGTTAATCTGATCTAATGAAGATATTTAAATAAAATATGTGTAAAGATTATCCAGCATCAAATACAACTGTAGAATTATATTGGTTTAGAAAGTTTGGGTCATTATTAATTGATTTAAAAAGCCCACATTTATCAGAATTTCGGGTTAAAGAGAAACATGGGGAAAAGTCATTTTCTTCCAAGTTTCCAGAAGTTTGTCTAATGTGAAAGTAAATATTTTGATCATGACAAGAGAAATTATAAACTATTGACAAATGTACTTAGACAAAGAAGCCACTAGCCCTGTGTGGAAGCATAAGGGGACCAGATGGCAGAGGCAGGGTGAAAGGAGAGTGACTGTGAGCTGTAAAACGATCCTATCAAGATTCAAATGGCTGCTCGGACAGGGACAACAGAGATGGTGGCCCCACCTTGGAATCTTCCGAGGACTCCCCACTTGCAGCTTACACTCCCCTACCTGCCCACTGTGCCCCCAGTGCCTGGCAGCCTGATGGGTACACAATGAGACTGGAACATAAAAGACTCATGGGAACATGTCATGGGGTATAAGAGTGCGAGGAAACTCCAGTTCAGGGCACTGGCCCCTGCGAGTATAGAGCGGTCCTCTGGGAACTGGGGCAGAGCCATCTATTCACTGCGTTACCAAGATCCTAAATCCCTGGGAG